CATCAATCTTCACACCACAACAAAGACGAGCACACTGGCCAAGTAGAGTCATTGAAATGCATTTCAATCTGCTACATTTGAATTGGACCTCTCCCACTCAGTGTTATCACTCTTTGCCAGGTGGCGCCAGACCACCTTTGAGAGTCAAACCTGGGCCAAGTCTGATGGGTGAGTCTTCTAAGCTAAACTTTTTTTGCCTGGATGAATGTGAAAACAGCTGGGCTTACTGTCTGCTCACTCTGACCAGAGTGTTAGCAGCAGAAGTGTGAAATGAGTACTGTACAACAACATGGTGTGGTATGGTATTACTATAGAATATGCTGTATGGTGGTCTCACCAAATGCAAATACTACTATGATACCGCTTATATATTAATGTTGTCCTACACAAATAGTTAATATACCTTATATGCAGTATATATACAGATATAAGTAGATATATATATAAATATATATACATATTATTTAATACTATAAATGCAATATTATATAAGTAGATATATATAAATATATTATTTAATACTATAAATGCAATACTAGCATGTATGATATAAAAATACTATTATATAAAATATTTTGTTACAGTAGTCATCAGGTGTAAAGTCTGACAAATATACGTACATTTAGTACCTCTACAGTAACCCTTGATTAATGAATAATGAAAGAAGAAAATGGTTACTGATAACATATATGTAATTTGTCATCTTCATAAATATAGTAGAAATCAAGTATAATATATATCTACTTTATATACTATAATATTACGTTAAGATCAGAACCTTACTCAGCATTAAAAACTTACTGGTGTAAAACACGTACCAGATACTGATGGATACAGGGCAGCAGCACCACATCCGTCAGAGTGAAGAACAGCCCCTCAGCAAACACATGCTCCAGAGCAGGCAAATCCGTGGTCTTCACTTTTCTGATGTCAGACTTCTCTCTAGTGGTGGCGGCTGGAACTGCATCCACTGACAGCCTGGCCAAAGCGGTCTGAAGCTCAAGTCCATCACCTGATGTAGATGACTGTCCACTGTCCTTGTCCTCTGAACCATTTAGGAAGTCATTCTTTTCACTGTCTTTCTGCTGCTTCAACTTCTGCCTCCTTATCTTGTCATCATTGTGGACTTTTACAGGTTCTGCTAACCTCTTCTCTAGAGTAAGGATGGAGAGAGGTAACTGCTTGGTCTGAATTAGTGGGTTTTGGAGGTGATCTTCTACCGCAGACGGTATGCCAGTTTCACACAGTCTGGTCCACTTGCTCACCTAAAATTAAAGAAATACATTGCCATCGCAGTGATATAGTTTTACAATATAATCAACTTTTCTTTCCTAAAACATGACTCGTGCTAAAATAATCAAGAAACTGTCTTTACCTCAGCACAGGCCTTCAAACAGGTCTTCTTGAAGCCTAGCAGTGCCTGCACGTCGTTTCTAGAAGGGTCTGTCTCCAGGGTTGTGTTGATAATGTGTCTCAGGACTACCGCCAGTCCAGCCCTGCAGATCCGTGCAGTGTCATCCAGAACAGCTGGGAGACGACAACTCTTCACCAACAGAGGTAGCTCGTCCACCTTAGTGTCACACACGTCCAGGTCCTCTGGTAGCTGACTCTTAAGTAACTGTGAGCAATTAGTTTTGGAGACTAGAAACACTTTAAAAGACTTGCATTTGCAGTAAGATAAAAGAAACAAAGTGATAGTTGTGTGCAGCGGCAGACGCGTCTCCTCACGGGGGCAACAAACAGATAAATACAGAGAGGGACGCTGTTGTTTTTCGTCCGTGTGTGTCATTTTAAAACCCGTGGAAAAAATTATTACTTAAAAGGGATAAATAAATATACGACTTTAGACATATAAGCCGACAATTACTATATTACCACGTTAGTGTAACACACTTCTTCCGAACACACTGTCGTTTCTTCCTCTTTCCTTTTTGCGAGAAAATGAAATTGCTTCACACTGCCATCTGCTGTCTCCCAGTCACATCTACGATTGAATGAAATTGTTCGTATACAAATAAAATAAACAATATTTCGCGTAGATAATTTATGCTAAAACATTATTTGTTAAATATAGAATATAAAGTAAATTCAAGTCAATGTAAATTTTATGGAACTGCCAAATTATAGTTAAGATATATAAAAAGTAATCCGAACACATGGTTCCGCACGCTTGTGCAGACCGGTGATATATTGCTGTTGCACAGGTCCACTGAAGAAAGTCTCTTCTGTTTTCTCGAGAAGGAAGTGATTCGCCGCCGTCATTTGTTCACCAAAAAGGAACATTTGAGCAGCGGTACTCCTTTGTTTGCCAATAGTGCGGAAGGTAATGTAATAAAAACCCAGAGATAAATGTTATTTGTTGTTAACGTTGGATACACGAATGACGAAAGCGATTTTAGGAATGAACTTCACTGTGTGCGTACTCCAAGTCCATCCATCCATCCTCCACACAGCGTTTGTCTAGTGTCCGTAGAAATTTAGTTAGTAGTTATACAGTATATTCGTGAACGCCACCTTAAGTATGGATTCAGTAAGTTATTTCATCCGACATCATCTATAAAATTATTATTTCATAGATAACAGAAATGTTCGCTCAACTATCTGGTTATCGAAGAAAATAAACCAAAACAAAATTATGATTTTGATTACTCGAAAGAAGTTTGCACATTTTAAAACGTCATTGTGTTTTAGTATTTATTATAATCGGACAAAACACTAAAAATGATAATAAACCTCCAACTGGTTAAATGAATGAATACTGGATTGGTTGATAAAAGAAAATAAAATCTATTGAGTTTCGTGGTATTTCTAATTGCTGTACCGTATTAAAACAAAGTGGAACATGAAAATCTGAGTTTCGTGGTATTTCTAATTGTTGCGCCATTTGTACCGTATTAAAACAAAGTGGAACATTTTTTGTCTTCACATAGTGTGTTAAATATAGTTTTATTTTATGGATTATATCTTGAGGAGATAGACTGTAAAAGTATTGAATACGTTTTTTCATAACTACTTTGAAGTTTATATAGTCGTAATTATCAACCTGTTTACCTACATCAGACACAGGCCTTGATTCCTTATAAATGTCTACCTTTTTTACATGCCTGAACAGAAATGGTGTGGGTTTGTCAAGCTGCAACATGTAACCTCACCACTAGATGTTGCTCAACATCACTGATTACATTCAGAACGGCGCTCTTTTACCTCTTGCAGTTCCTCTTACCTGAAATGAATGTGTTAACAAAGTGTTTTTTCCCCTGCCAATGTTAGGGTTTAGGGTGTAAAATTTATTAGTCCTTCAATTGTTACACCTTGAGCAGTTAAACTTAAATACGTGTTGAACACCTTCATGCGTTTCAGGTGAAACCATGGCTGGACCTGTCAGTCTGGAGTTAGATCCCATTTTTCTGAAGGGGCTGAGTTACCTACACTCCAAGAGTAAAGATTCCGTTGAGAAACTTAAAGCCTTACTTGACGAGTCTCTCTCGAGAGGTAGTGAGTCATCGTACCGTTCATCACAAAAGGCAAGGATTTCAATACATTCATAATTTACCAGTTTGATTTGAATAGTAACTCATTTGTTCTAAGTGCTGTGTTGTTGTCAATGCACAGGATATAGAGGTGTCTAAGGGGTCTGTGTCAAAACTGAGTTTGAACAAACAGGACTCAAAGTCCTCCAGTTCCTCATCCTCCTCCAGCAGCAGCAGCAGCAGTGGCAGCAGCAAATCCAGCTCAGAAAAAGGGAAGAAGGAAGTAGAAAAGAGAACTGCCGAAAAGGTAACTAAATATTTTAATACAGTTTTTGTTTAGATAAAACGTTTGTTTGCTAAATTGCCATATTAAACCTTTAAAAATCCATCTGATTTTAATAGGAACACACTGAAGTTGATTTCTGCACTTATTTATCTTGTAACTGAAATAAAGAAATGTTCTCAAGTAATTTAAAAATGGACCTGACCATGCATTTGATTTGGTTTTTTATCTTATTTACTATCAGGTAAAGATTGAGTTGTGTGACCTGGACACACCAAAAAAGCCTCGCCTGGAGAAACAGGAGAATCGTTCGTCACCAATTACTGTCCAGACCAGCAAAGACCTCCTGCCAAACATCAACGATAATGAAGAGACCAATGCTGATGATTTTGCCATGGAAATGGGCCTGGCTTGTGTTGTCTGCAGGTACATTTACATTTTGAGTAGATATTGAAAACTAGTTTTGTGTTAATACAATTCTATATTTAATGACTATGTTAATTTTTAATTGTTCTGACACAGGGTGTACCTCCTGCATGTGCAATATTTACACTCTGTTTTTAATTACAGACAAATGACAGTCACCATGGGTAACCAGCTGGTGGAATGCCAAGAATGCCACAACCTGTATCACCAGGACTGTCACAAACCCCAGGTGACAGACAAAGAAGTGAATGATCCGAGGTTGGTGTGGTACTGTGCCCGCTGCACCAGGCAAATGAAACGAATGGTGAGGAGAATCTTCTTTTTAACATTTTTCATTACATGCAGTAAGTACTAACTGGTAAATAAAATGGTAGAAGATGCCACCTGCCACCAGAAGGCTCTGGGTTTGATATCTTGTCCCCAAATACAAGGATGGGTTGTGCCAGGAATGGCATCCAGCCAAAAGTAGTGATATTAACATCACTACTGTTTTCTTTTTTTATTTGTTTGCTTGTTTGCTCCCCAGGCCCAGAAACCCCGATCCTCCTATTAACGTCACTACTGTTTTCTTTTTTTTATTTGTTTGTTTGCTCCCCAGGCCCAGAAACCCCCACAGAAGCCTTCACCAGTATCTGCATCAGCAGCACCTGTTGTAAAAGACATCCTTGTCAAAAAGACAGAGCTGAAATCCAAACCAGACACAACCAGCACTTTCCAGGCCTTCAAACGAACAGAAGTGAAGGTAGGTGTAAAAACAAAGCTGCAATTCAACAAGAAACAGAATTGTCCTTTTTTTTTTTTCACCAATGACATTTGACACTAAAAGGCCGATATGAAAATTTGTATAAAGGAAAATGAGCATCAGAGTCAGTGTGACTGCTGATATTATTTCTTCACACAGACTTTTAAAACTGTCTGTTTGATTTTTCAATTGTTTTTCTGCATGGTTTTTCAGGCATCCACAACATCAGCCAACCCACCCAGTGGGAGCTCCTCCTCTAGTAGTGGTCTCACAGGCTGGGCTGCATTTGGTGCCAAGACGAGCTCCGCCCTCCCACCAACCTCTAAACTGGGTCCCTCCGTCCCAAGTGGAAGCAGTAAGACTCTGCCTCCAGCCACTGGCCAGAAACCTGTTGGACTGTCCAGTCTGGCTGGTGCAAAACCCGGACTCGGTGGTGCTAAGGTCACTGCGGGGGGGAATGGAAACGGCTCGAGCCAGGTGTCTCTGAAACCTCCTCCACCCCTGACTCTGGGGAAGCAGCCGCTCAACCGTTCATCGAGTGGTGAGAATCAAGGGAAAGGCTCCTCTTCGTCGGGAGCAGGCTCTCCAGGCAGCTCCAGTGCAAGTGCGGGAGGAAACGGAGGAGGCAATGGAGGAGGTAACGGGAGCAACGGGAACGGCTCAAAATCTGCAGCAGGGGACAAAGCACCGACTTCCCAGGAGTCTCAGTTCAATGCCATGAAACGTCTACAACTAGTGAAGAAAAAGGCAGCACAAAAGAAACTGAAGAAATGATCAGAGGTGGAAACTGGACAGGGAGTAGAAAATAAAAAGAGTGTGTGTGTCATCAGTGACGGCGACAATGTTTATGTTTAGTCAAATACTTGAATCTTACTCTGTGTAAATGCTGCTGCACTCTGTGTGTCATTCTGCCATAGAAATACGTCGCAAAAGAAAAGGTCTCTTTTTGCGCCATTAACGGCCATTAAAATATCTTCCTGTAGCGTGTGTTGTACTGTGAGTATACAGCAACATATGGAGGCTGGTGGTTTGTTATAGAAGATCTTTTACTTCCACATAAATGTTTCTGTATAAATTATCTCATTGTATTCTGTTTATATTTCTTCATTTCACATTTACAAGACAGTTCATTTATAAATCAATTCACATAAAATTTCTCTTCAAGAATAAATCACTTAATCATCAACATAATTAAACACTGAATTAGAAAAGTGCTCAGCACAGTGCTCTGGATTCCCCTGGCCTCACTGCCTCTCATAGAATATCTAACATTCACGCCATTCATGTTGAATGTTAAATATTGTAATGAGCGACTCCAGGCGAAGCACATTCTGGTGTTAATGTCAGTGATCTACATTAACGTCGCTCCTCATTCGTCACTGGTTGGTGACAATTCAAAGTGCTTGACACTGTGGTTTTCACCTTCAACAGTTTACAGAAATGCTCATGGTGCATATGAATATGCCACACTTTACATTACAGCTGCCAGGAGCGATGTCTCGCCCCGGAATGTAGACTTGTTGAAACGGGATCTGCAGCTGCCTCGATGTGAGAATGTTCGATGAGATCCTCGACTCTCTGTGTGTGTGTGTGTGTGTGTGTATCTGATTAATCTTCACGCCGTCTCCGTCCATTGCAAACCTAGCACCAACAACCCTGCCCTTTGACCTTCACAAGCAGAAATGTAACACGTCTTAATTGCAAGACAATTTAAAATGTTAAGAATTCTTGAGTTTTCTTAACTCAACAGAGTTGTTGACTGTTGTAAATGTTCACTCTTAGTTGGATTCTTTGGTGTAGAATGTTCTACAATTAATGGGGCAGTTTTATTTGATTTGATTTTTTTTTTTTTTTAGGCATAAGACATTCTGCCAAGGTAGTTGGCTGGCACGTATCCCTTCTGCCCGTTAGCCTCAGCGAGCCACCAGTCCTTGTTGCCTCCCAGGTCACAGAACTTTAGGATGCGTACATGCTGGTACTCCTGCAGGGTCAGCTCCTGGTCCGAACGAGCTTGAAATGCATAGACGGCATAAAACTGGAAAAGACAGAGAAGACATGTCAGTAACAAATTAGCTTTCTGGCTACAGAAGAAGTTATCAGATGTGTTTACTTCTGTGGTAAATATGAGAGCATTAGGCCAACTTTAGATTACTATTCTATCAATATAATATTTAAGTATCTTCACAATTCCCAAATGTTTTCTATGCTTATTCCAAAGAGAGGCAGTGTTTGGCACTGTCTGAAATATTTATGTTGTTAATAAGTATTTTACGAAGACTTTTTTTTTCTTTTTTTTTTTAATTGACACATTTTAATCTAGTTAAACATGACAACACACCTGCTGGGCCTCCGTGTCCAGCACGTCCTCCAAGTCTTCCGGGCTCTCTGGCTCCCCCTGTAGACCAGACAGGGTGGAGCTGCTGTCTGTGGTGGTGAGGTTGAAGCTGCACAGACTGTTGCGGCCACTGTTGGACACAAACAGACTGAGGTCATCGAAGTCGTCGTCCACCACGGCAGGCTGTTGCTGCTGTTGCTGCTCTTTGACCATCTGTCCGCCTCGCTGTGAGTCCCTCAGAGGGTTGTACGGCTTCAGGAATGTGGAGTAGACGTAGCCCTGTGTGCCTAAAAGAGACCAATACAGTGAGTTTTTGTTGTCAACATGTGGTTCACACTAAGTGCATTTAAAACAAAACAAACAAAAACTTTTCTGCTCTAAACCTATAAGCTTAAAACCTAGTTAAAATACCAGCAAGATGGTGTGTATAAACAAATGATTTTTGAATCCTTAAGAAACAAGGCAGTTAACACTTGTCCCATTGTAGAACGTTAGAAAAAAAATGTAACTATAAATTATTAATTTTATTCATTTAATTACAAACATGTTTGAAAAGCCATTTTATCACAGCTGTCTCGGTTCCCTGGTGAAAACACTCCTGCCTGTAGGTGGCAGTAATGCACCTATTTGCCGGCCACCATCAGTTCACAAGAACGTTAGCTGAAAGGCTAAGGAAAACGAAGTCTAGCTTGGCTTATGGAGAGGATTTTTTTCCCAAGTATTGGCTACTTTTACAAGTATAGTAAAATGTCAAATATATTAGCTACAATTGAACACTCTACATGTACTATAGAAATACACACAAAAACACATACAAGATAAAATTTACTTATTGATGAAAAATTGCTATAAATGTTATTGTACAAATTACAAACAATTAAAATTAAGAATAGTAACTGATTGTATTTGTTCAATACTGCTTTTATACATGTTTGTTGACTGGTTGCTACTGATATATATGCTAATGATCTTATTAGGAATATTTATCTTACTCCTTTATTGTGCTTAGCCTCTGCTGCTGTATTATTGTTATTATGTTTATATGATGGTCATACAGATGGTACTTGCTGAGTGAGTGGGTGATACACAGTGTGAAATGACTGAGACGAACTGCTTTAGAGTGTTACGACCACAGCTAAAGCACTCAATCAAAATCAGGTTTAAGCCTGGGCAGGTCGTGCGTCCATGGCAAACACAGTAAAGTCGTCAGTCACCTTATTCCCAGCACACCGATAAATTGAGTTACCCTGACTTACTGACCTGTGAGTCAGGAAATAAACCGCAGCTCTGTTTATAGAACAACAACTTTTTGGCATGGCCTTTAATCCCTTAAGGAAAAAACAAGTCTGTGAAGAATGTACTCCATAGCAGGAGACATGAACACTATATTTTTTTTCTTACTGCTCCTGGAGGAGATTGTTTTGGAGGCAAACAAACAACAACTCTCTTTCCATGTTTCTAAATACCCAGAGGGAAAAGGCTTCACACACGCAGTGACACTGCCTACAGTGAACAACAGTTTATTCCAAAGCAGACTTAGGGATCTCAGCTACATCGCAGGGAGATGGTGATAAGTTATGGAGTTGCCCTTGTTGGGAGGCAACACTCTCCAGGGAAGGAGTAATGAGGTGTCAGCAACCATGACATCACAATATCTCCTGGGATTGGTTCTTATGTGTTGACATGTCAGAGTCTGAGCAAAGGTTGGTGCATCTGTGTAGAGACTCAGTCACTCTTACAGGTTTGATCACAAGGACACCAACCGATACGACTATGACTACTCTGATGCTTGTACTCATCAGTATTACTATTTCTTTAAGAAGGTTTTTAATGCATATGCAATGAACTGGAAGGCAGTGTTGTATAGGGTAGCAGTGTGTGTTTGTGTGTGTGTGCAGCATTGACTCATGCCACAGTAACTAGACCATGAAGATGAGGAAAATGCTCACAACCTGTTCGGTACCGAAGACTGTTTCAGTCAATGTCCTTAAACTGACTCTGTTTCACTTTAACTGTGTCGCACTAGTTCAACAAAGCAGTGACCTGTTGAGGGACACACACTTCATGTGAGAAGAGACACAGATGTATTCAGTGTTAATACTAAGGATGTCCAATAATATCGCCCGACCAATATGATCAGCCTGAAATGAGCATATTATGCAATATCTGTGAAAATCGTTAACACAATGCCTGGGTTTGACCAAATCATGTCTGCCCTCTGGTGTTAAAATTCCTCCAAATAAATCGTTAACGCAATGCCTGGGTTTGACCAAATCATGTGTGCCCTCTGGTGTTAAAATTCCTCCAAACTGGTGACATTGTTGACCTGCTAAAATAAACGATCAGGATTGTTGTAGGAAAATACACAACCCTTGTGAACCAGGGCATAGCTGGTTGTAGTGAAGATCTGTTACTGGATTACTGGATCAGCACACGTTTTCGTGAGTATGAGTACTTGAACGAAGTATCAGGGATTACGTACACGAGTGAATCGTCAGTGTAATAACCTCACGCACCTTACCTCTGCAATCACACACAGACACACACACACACACTTGCCTCCTGTGTGAACCAGCCAGCGGCTGCTGCTGCCTAATGGATCTGTGTCCTCCAGTAGAGCCACCAGCTCTCCCTCCAGCAAACTGAGGTCCTGCTCCTGGCAGCCATTACACTTCCTCTTCAGCTGGTACAGGCGGTTCGGTGCATATTCTGCCAGCAGCTGGGAACGTTGTTCCTCAGTCTGATGCTGCACTTCCATCACCTGAGGACAGTCCAGGACAAAGGGAGGGTTTGTGAAGTGACAGTTTTTTTTTAGATTCTCACAATGCAATGCAATCAAATCACAATGAAAGAGAATGAAGGTCGTAAGGTCAAACTTAGTTGATCGTCTGTCTATGTGGAGCTTATTTAGGCTGAGGGTGTCTAATTTGGGTTTGGGGTTTTATATGGATATCAGGGATAATTGTCTTATAGACCCCTGAACATGAGTACAAATCCTGTTTTCCTACCCCAAAAAACAACCTCTACTGTATGAGTACTGGTACTTAGGTTGCTGACTTCCAAAGAACTAATGTAAATGAAAGCCTAAAGCTGTTCTGGGTCTGTTTTTAATAAGACCCAAAGTGCCTAATTATACCTAAATTAAAAATACATGTAGTAGTACTGTAGTATGTGAGGTAATTGTTTTAAACTAGGGTCACCTGAGGGCTTTTCCCTGAACTGATTAGTGATCTAAAGATAGCCTATAATCAGATATGTACTGTAGTATTTAACTGTAATGTTACAGTTAGAACTCCAAGACCACCCAGACTTCTGACTGATCTCCCTGAAGGAGGTGCTGTAGTGAATGCTGACCGTTGTTTTCTTCTCTCGTCTCTCGAAGCTGACTTTTCGCTCCATCAGCTTCTGAGCGTTTTCCTTAACAAACGACAGACTGTTCAGCTCTTCCATGATGCAGTTCTGCACCTCAGAAATGTTGGACAGCGGAGCCTGGCGAAACACAACACACACCCGTGTTACACCTGAGTCTTACAGTGCATTTACACAATGTGTATTATAAACAGAGTCCGCACTGGAAGCTGATGAATGGACGGAGCGCCGTGTAGTATTTTTCCCATCAGCTCCCGGAGGAGGGCGGCCAGGTACAACACACAGTTGGTCAGGATGGTGTAGGCGGCCATGTTGAACCTCTGCAGCTCTTCCAGCAGCAAGGCATTCAGAGCTTCATAATCCCTCCTGGCAGGACCAGATGGGTCCTCGGAGACGGGCGATGGAGATGAAGAGGTGGTGGATGAGGAGGAGCGCTCGAGGCGGCTGCAGTAATCCAGCAATTTGTCATATCGTTTTTGGATGAGCTTCTGAGGTGCTGTGAACATGCCCTGCAGGGAGCAGAGGGGGGCGAGGACCAGGCGCTCTATTTTGTCTTTCTGAGGACAGAAATAAAAGTGGACACAGGTGATGAATACAGATTTAGTCTTATTCCATCCTGTACAAAGTTTTTTCCACCGATGCTCCATTCTGAAGTAAGGAAGCAACAAGCTGCTACAGAGGATCCTGTTCACTCAGACAATAAAGGAAGTGAAGAGGAGTGATGTAACAGTAACAGCCAGTATCCACCGGAGATGAGTGGCTACTAATAAAACGGACATGAGACGGAGAAGTGTGGGCCAAAAGACAAGGGACTCAGTGTCAGCACGGATTAATTTAAGGTCAGGAAGGAAGGAAAGGACAAAGAGAAGGAAGCCGGGCAGTAGATCAAGATTTGTCATCAAGTAAAGCCACACTTACAAAGTGCTTATAAGGATCGTTTCCGTTACTGTGAAGAGATCCATTTGTGCCGTTTTTGTTTGGATCCTTGACAATATTCTCCAAGTCCTGGACGTTCTGGACAGCCACCGAGACCATCTCCTGCACAGTACGAGTTATTTAAACATTATATCTGTATATATATATATTTATAGAATTTTTATGAATTTATAGAAGAACAACATGTATTTACTACTACAGTATTTTCAATACCCACCTGTGTGTACTGCAGGTAACAGTAAATATTCTTCACCAACAGCCTGACAGCCTTCTCCAGACTCCTGAACAGCTTCTCCTCTCTGTCGAAAATTTCATCTCTGACCTAAAAAAACAAAATATAAAATAAATGTTCTCCATTTCATAAAAAACTAAAATGTGTAACGTAGTAAATCAGTCTATATTTATCAGGCAAAATTACCAACCAACATGGTTCCAAAAGTTTTAAAATAATAAAAAACTTAAATAAGCAGATGTTTCTGCATATTTGCACATTTGAATTTAATAAATACAAGTATAGTATACGCTATCCCTTTGCCTGTAAAATTAACATTGAACCTCCTGAATCAAGATTTTTATTTTAGACCAACACTATCTGGTGATGAGCTTATTTATTTTTTTATCCATTCCACTTCACCTGTGGTTCAACTCCAGTGAGGATCTTGAGATATCCCGCAAACCTGTCGCCCTTCTTGCGGATGGAGTGGATGTTGAACTTGTTTAGTTTTCCTCTCAGACTGCCCTCATCTTCCAGTCTCTTATATTTCATGACTAAAGGTCAAAGAGAGGAATAATAATGTTATAAGGTTGCTAGGTTTGTTGTACAACCGACATAAAAAAGGTGTGAAAAAGTCTGGCATCTCACCGATGTCTTTGCGCCTCTTGAACTCATTTATGTTGACGTTGATGATCTTGGCAGTAGTGAAGGCCTCCTGCAGGGGGTGATAGTCAGGATGGTCTTCAGGCGTGGCGTGCCAAAGCTCCCCCAGCAGCAGTGGATACTTCATGATCCTCTGGACAGGTTTGATGAGCAGTGACCCCATGTCCAGCAGGTTGGGTTTTCCTCTGTTTGAATGAACACAAACCATCAACACCTGCTGAATGTTGGTGTGAAATAAGAACTCATAAAAACATGACCAGTAAATACTTACTCTTGGTCATAGATTTTTCTGTAAATAAAATACAAAAAAGGTGTCAGATAATTGTAAACACTATTAAAACAATTAAAAATGAGTTAATACTGCAGTATCTCCACTTACTTCAGTGCTAATACACATGTGGTAAAATGCTGTTTAATTTCCTCTTCCTTCTCGTATGACTTGAGTGACATGTTGGCGTCGTCGTGATGGTAACAGTATATCTTATACACATCTTCCAAAGCTGCCTTGGCCTGGATGAATACTTCACCTTTAATCAGAGAGGGAGGGCAGGGGAGGAGGGAGTGGGGGAGTGAGCAGAGCTCCACAGCAGTACAAGTCAAACACATTAAATCAAAATGCCATTACCTACGACAACGGCTTCAGGGTCAGGCTCAGCCATGGCCTGGTGCAGTCTGTGTAGGAGCGCTGCAGAAACCTCACACACCGTCTCCATGTTGGTAAACAGGCGATCTATGTCCACAACCTAACAGAGCACACGTAGAGATAATACTTTGTAAACGAAAATTGGAGTTTGTGGATTTGAGGGGACAAATGTGAGATTTAGGTTTCATTTTTTGGGTTGTTTCATGTTTTCTAGCTAACAAACCTGCATGTTTCGTAGCGGCTGCACCACTTCTCTGATGCACAGCTCCAGGTCGGTCAGGTAGTCCTTCTCAGTCTGCACCAGCTCCTGGATGACCTTTGCCCTACGCTTCATCTTCCTCAGTCTGACCTCCTCTGGGTCAACGGCCGGGGAGGAAGGTGTGGACAGGTCTGGAGGTGTCATTTTCTCTGTCAAGGAAGGAAACGACATCAACAGTGTTATGAAAAGGAGAGGTGTGATGATCTACACAGGCTTCAGTCCCAGTCATGTAAGGTCAAAGGTGACGATGAAGCTGCTCATAGACTTGACTGCTCATGAATTTGGAAATGTTGTAGCATATATATTGTATCATATGTTGCTTAACAAAAAAGAAGTGACTTTCTCGCTGTTAGCACTAATCTTTAATTCACTATGTGACTCATCAATATTACATTTATTTTCTCAGTCAGACTCTCTGCTGCGGCAGGTGGAAATGTGTGACACCATCCCTCGCTTTCTCCTCTAGAGAGAGAAAGGCAGCCAGAGAAGGTGGAGGTGTGTGAGACAGGAGGTGACAGGGACCAGTGTCAGGTTACAGGGTGAGTGGTGTCAATGATGTAATGTTACAGCCAGCACAGGCATTCCATCTGCTCTGAATGAGTGTGTGTCTGTGTGTGTGTGAGACACACCCACAAATACAAAACACATTCACAGCGATGCTTTTATTATCCAACTAGAAACAAACACGGAAAAACTTCATGATTCCATTGGGTTGTAGTGGATTTTCCCTCCTTTACCCTCTGTTTATGACATTATGACATAGAAAACTCTTGGATCCAAGTTTGGTCTAGATGCTGACTGTATAGAACTTACAATAGAGCATAAATAAATACTTTTTAATTAGCATATGAAGAATGTTTTTAATTTATCTATAAATGGTGAATAATGGGCAGCAGATCACATTTACCTTTTAGCACGTTCATCAAGTGTCACATGTCAACACAACCCTTCACCATGAAAAGAAACTCCGGAATCTATGAAAACCTCCACCCGTGAGAAAAGTACCCCGTTGGTTCTTCTTGGTGGTTGGTGCATTAAAAATCTGGATACACCTCTTCTGCCAGCACATTTCTAATTCATATTGAAAGTTATTATAACAATAAATGACAAACTGACAAAAGTCTGACGATAAATATTTAATAAAATAAAAATAGATTTTTGCTAATTTACAAATTTATTCCATCTTTTCATGGCAGTTGATCTTTTCTGAACAGGTGGTTTAGGAAAGAAAACATGTTTAGACTGTCACTGGCTCACTGAGTCAAAATGATATTTGACATTTTTTGCTAAATTAATTTATATTTGGAATTGTACATTTACATTTAGCTTCATAGCTTAATTCCTTTATAACTGGACAAAGGTTAAGAGTAAGTAAATCAAGTCTGCTGACACAACCTTCTGCCAGCATTGTGTTTGGTGAGGTATGGTTGCCGGCACAGGAGTTCCCATGTAAGTGGATACAGGGCTTTTCAGTGTTCAGCCCAGTGAAAGGGATCCAACAGTTAGCCTCAGAATAGAAAAACAAGACCGAGTGTATCATGTATCGCCATAAAGAAGAAAGATTGGTCACATAACAGAGGGTAAAGATAAACTTAACACTGACAAATCTGTGAAAATTCTGACTTCCAAGCAGAGCACACCCTAACCACTAACTGTCTGATTTAAATTCCCAATCTTATTCTAATATAAAATAGTAAATACAGGCATGTTTTTAAAATTTATTTTTTTTCAAGACAAAGTTCACCAATGGAGAATTAGCCTTGGTTAGCAATAAAGACTTAAATGACTCAGTAAACCTGTTATATTTCTATGTAGTGCAGTTTTAAAGCCGTTTTAAATGTTACGAAAAATGATTTATAAAAATCAATGACTTTATTTTACCAGAATGTTCAGTACACAAACCAGAGCAAATTTTTTATTTATAGTACTAACTATGGAGAGTTTCAGGAACAAGATTCTGATTCATTTGAACTGTGTTTTGCCAACATGATTGATGATTAAAGAGGAAACAAATCCAGGTCCACACACACACAAACACAGCACTCAGTTCTCTCAGCGGCAGAAACTCAAGTCATTTGCTACAGTGCGTAAATAAGCACATGTGAATATTTGCTTTGTCTCCACCCAGTTGTGCTGTTCTGGTAAATCATTTTCAGAACTCGTCATGTTTAGGTACAGAATATTTCTGTAAATAATTACACGTGTTGATATCATGTAACCATGGCTCTGAGGCCCAACCAACCAGTCTGACCAGCAGATGAGAGGCGCCTGTCACACAGAGTCACATGTTTCCTCTTGGAGTGAAGTCATCGTTCTGTCAATATTTGCAATGGTAATATGACTGTAAATACTAAAGTGCAGCTTTTTTGAGGAAAAGGTTGCTGACGTCTGCTCTATGACTTAAACCCATGACCTCATCTCATATAATACTGAAAATATATGCAAAATATTACACATTATATGTACTTGTCTATTTGTTTTTTGTTATATAACCCTCCATAACTCTTAAAGCAACATACACTCTCAAAGAGCTGCAGATCATTTGTTTTTTACCTAATAATTAACTAAAGTTGGTGATTTTTAGGTGCAAAGGTTACCATGAAGATTCAAACTCCCGTTTAAGCGCTGTTTCATTTTTTAATATAAACATATTATATATAAACATATTTAATTTTAATCTGGGAAATGTCATAAAATGACAAAATAAATTTTAAAAAAGGCTTTTGCTCCAGCTTGTGCTGTCTGTAGTGCGATTCCATCAGTACATCAGAGTTGGATGTCTACCTCAATCTTTTTACAAATCAGTTTAGATTCAAAGTCATCAAATATCAAGCATTTCGTTGCATCCAGTGTTTCCTCTTTCTGTGAAGTCGTCCTTCTGCCAATATTTGCAATGGTAATAACACGGTAAATAAGGTACGTAATGGCACTCATCAGTAACGCTGTGAGAGGGTGGGTTTTTGTTTTCCCGAAAACAACTCAGTGTTTTTTGACAACCCTGTCTGCCACGATGGAGGTAGGCCAAGAAAACAGAAAGTGCAGAGAAGTGGAGAGTGCCTCTATTGCAGGTAAATAGGGCAGATGCTGATAAGGGTTAGTGAGTGTTTGTGAAAGCTGTTTGGTCAAAACAACGCAAGAGACGTGTAGCCTGTGTTTTGATCAAGGTCTTTTCTGTTTTTTATTTCATGTCATATTAATTAAAAAAGGAGGAAAAACTGCTGAGAAACACGTGATACTGGAAGACCCACATATTTCTAGGTTTTTACACCAAGCCCCTACTGACACAATGATGTCAGTCATTTAGCCTGCAGTGCAGCATTCCCTGTTACTGACTGCACACTAAGGACAAGTGAGGCCAGTTTTGTTTCCTTGAACATGGACATGTATGAAAAGTTCATGATGAGATGCTTGTATGTAGTTTAGTATATAGCTTGTATAGCGTTACTAATACTAGAAGAGCTACGAGCTGAGGTAGGAGGTTAACAATACTATAAAAGCTACGAGCTGAGGTAGGAGGTTAACAAAGGCCTCACTGAGTGAAAGGCTCACAGGTAAATAAATGACAACTTTCTGTGCATTACTGGCATTAGGTCTTGTTTACTGGCTGGACAGGAACACTTTGAAAGCCACTCCTCTGAGCCTGAGTTTGGAGCACAGTTTGCATATGTGCCTCCGTCCCTCTGGGAATGTCTCCTGCTCAACACATGGTAACGCAACAGGTGCAGAGTATCCAGAGCTGTACTGTACTGCATACTTTGTGTACTAGTAGATTGCGCCCTATCGATATGGGCTGTTACAGTTCATTTTGAATGGCAGTATTTCCTCCAAATGTCATCAAGCTACCAGAAAACTGTAGAGAGTTGAGAGACGTGTCAGACTAAGTGTCAGCTCACGTGTGTGTGTAAATTGTTGCCATAGTTTTAACCCCTGGGGAGGTCATTAGGGCATGTACCTTTAAGTTTGGCGCTGTACTCCGTCTTGTCAGACTGACTCCTCCTCACTAGCGTCCCCAAGTTGATGTCACCTTTGGCCATGTCCTCGGCCACAATAGTGTCCGTTCTTCTCCTTTCCAGGTAACGGAGGAACACAGGTCTGTTTCTCCTCTTTATTACCTTGTCTTTTTCTTTTTCCTTGTCCTTCTCACTCCCACCGCTCTCCTTGGGATCCATAGTAAAGTTGACAGCTCCACTCGTGCTCCTCAGACTAAGTTAAAGACAAACAAGCGCAGGAAAACACAGCAGATACCAGGAAAAGAGCAGAGGAAGTGCAACAGGTGTAGTGTGCACTGGCTGGCTGCTCAGCACAGGTAATGTAACTCCTCCCTGTGTCTACCTGTCATTGGAGCTATGTTGCCCCACCTCTCCATTGCTGTGCTATGTTTCTTCCCTAAAGACCATTATTTTTACCCGTGGAGAAAAAGTGCATGGTTTCACTTTCCCTAAAAGGTTTGTAGATTGAGTGTCAGCATTGGGGCTATTTACATGAACACATACAAACAGCAATTACTAAGTATATTTTATTGAAAGTTTATGTATCAACACAAACTTGAACAGCATGGTAAAATACAGAAATTGAATAAAACAACAACAAAAATAAGTAATGAAAAAAATGCACATAATAAAGTTGAATTTATGCGCCCCGGAGCTTCATTAAAGCTTTGACAACAACTTTCAATAAATTCTCAAATAAACTCTTTAAAACGAACAACGTTGTTAATTTTTTTGTTTTGTTCTTTATTCCAAGGTGACTATTCACAAAATTGCCAAAACCCAACAAATTTCTATTGAGAGACTATAACTGACTTTTTACACCTTATTTTATGACAAAGTACATGCCATAGTAATAAAGACATGCATTATAGTTGGACAATGTAACATGACTCTCTCCCTCTCTCTCTTCCTCCCTCCTACTCACACACACACACATATATACGTATGTTTTCAGCATTATTTCTAGTCATAGCAACCAGAAACTAGCTGGTACAATGAATAGATGTGCCCTCTTCCTGTTGACACAGATAATGACCTTAGATCTCTCTGGGCTGTACTTATGAAAACACACAAACACAGCTCACAGTACCAGTTGAGTACATGTCAGCTGGTCATCAATACAGCATGTGTCACAGTGTATCAAAAATAACAATGACAATAATATTATCAATTCCAAGCAATTTCTTTCTTGTTTAAAAAATGTTCACCGTACTCTTATGTAATCCCATGAGGCAAAACAAACAATGGAAAATCACATTTTCTCTGCAAACAGCTAATAAGTAAACACATCTTGAACTCTGTCGACACAGCAATTGTTTTGCTTTGGGGGAACTCAAATGACATCATGCTGTCACTCAGAGCTTAGTCAGACTGCCTTGTTCAAACTCAAAAATGTTCCTATTCTTATTAAAAGTTAAACATTTGGATCATATGTACTGTACATACATATAGAGGGGCAAAACAGAGCTTCAACATCGTTTTATATAAATATAATATAAAACTGATTTATGAAATGTATATCAGAAAAATATAGTTTGTGTGTTTTTATGCATACGTAGAATACACTTGATGCATTGTCCATTTGAGCAGCATTTAACACAGGCCCAAGGGTGTGTCATTTGTTTGAACAGAGACCAATTTACAAAACAATAAAAGTGACACATCAAGGTGGTTGGACCACATGTTTGTTTCGATCACAATGGATACATTGGTGATACATTGAATGGTGGTATAGACTTTGATCTCACACTGCATTTGTAAATGTATCACCAATGAGTTCATTAAAGTAGGGTTGGAAAAAAATGTGTATTTACATGGGAGGACAAAACTGTTTTATTCAAATGAGAAACTGAAACACAAATTAAATAGATAAAAAGAGAAGAGAATAAAAATGTAAAGTGAAATAAACAAAGGGAAATGATAATTAGAGGAATAACTGTACACCTCCAACACAGCCATCAGAACCAATTTGTGTTGAATTGTATGAATGTATAAATGGAGACACATCGTCATGGATTCCAACCAAGCCTAGAAATGAACCCTTAACCGTTTGACCTAATTTGTTCTATCCATTTCATCTACTTTATTCACCAAACTGGTTGTTATTCCCTAGTAGATCTTGGTTATAACATTCACAGAAAAATATAAGATTAGCTAAACAACAGAATATTATGTCTGCATTAAGTGTCAGTTAATGTATGTGCTGCAGAAAACACACGTTAGAAATCCTCACTTGATTTTCAGCGGAAAACGACGGAGGCAGAGGAAATACGTAAGTGTAATGGAGAGCAGAAAATTAAGGGTTTTATTTTTTTAATGTATATCAAATTCATTTGACTATTATCTTAAGCTGGTGACACTAGACAACTATATAGCAAATTATTTATTTGATTTTATTTTAGATAAATTGTAACCGCCATGTTGTAGTTTTTAAGCCTGACTAGTGAAACAAATATGGCGGCTTCCTGATCTGCGAAACGTAGCAGCTGCGGTGCACGAGAAGGTTGGAAGTTGGTCTGTCTGGAGGTACGCCGACCAACGGCTTTCTCGTTATCGCATTGAACCAAAATACAACAAACATTACGTTTGGTCGGTCAGTAAGAGCTAACGCACTGATATTTATTTGACTAGTACCGGAAGTAGACGCCGTTTTCAGGCGGATGTTGTGATTCTGCTTTGTAGAAGTGGTGGAGGACGGGAAATAGGAAGAGAGCGTGTTCTGTATCATGAGACCGCTACTGCCTCCGCGGTCGTCGCTCGGCTGCCTGCTGACACTTTTCGGTTCATTATCTCCTTCTAGAAATAAATTAGTAACACAAGCAGCACCTGCAGCTCATTTTTATTTGCTAAGAAAAAGCATGCATTATCAAACGGAGGAGAGAGGACGCCTGAATTCTGCCGACTACCGGATTTATTTTAGTAAGTTATTCATCGCGACATGTTACATGTCTTTCTTTTATTCAAATTATTATTTTAATATAGACACGTGCAGTGTAAGGTAACCCCCAGGTGACCTGTCTAAGTAAAGTATCATCTTGGTGCACACACTTGATAACAAAGTAATTTATTAACAGGAAAAAATGTTTCTTTTGCAAGCATAGTTTCCCAATAAAAGCATAATCTTTTGCCCTTTTTTCTTTTCTTTTTACAGAGAACTCTGAAGGGAAATACATTTCACCTTTCCATGACATCCCACTTGTAGCAGAAACAAAAGTGAGTTACTTAATAGAAATGTGAGTATCAATTACTCTTAAATGAAAACAGTTAAACACGGTGACTTATTTTCAGGTTGAAAATGACATACCTGCAAAAAAAGCAAAGCATGATGGAAATGAGGTATCCAGCTATTCAAGTACAGTTTTAACTTTGCCCAATAAAAAAAGGACACAAATTAAAATCCTCGTGTTTACTTTCAGGTGCTGTACAACATGGTTGTGGAAGTGCCTCGATGGTCAAATGCTAAAATGGAGGTTAGAAGAGAAGCCTATAAATAGATATGTTATAAACCTAGCCATTGACAGCCTGATTACATTTCCCTAGAATATATCTGGTCATTAAATCTGGTCTTTGTTAATGTTCAAAACTCAGATTGCCACAAAGGAACCACTGAATCCCATCAAACAAGACGTGAAGAAAGGCAAGGTTCGATATGTTGCCAATATATTTCCACACAAAGGTTATATATGGAACTATGGGGCGCTGCCACAGGTGAGTACAGCTGGTCTCAGTCAGATTTGCCCAAGTGTAATGTTGCCTAATGTTATAATTGTATGCTTAATGAATTGTATGTCTAGTTTTTGAATCACTGAATGCAATGACCTAATGATGCATCTGTGCCTGTGTCTGTCAGATCTGAATTGTTTTTTTTTTAAAACATTTCTCATGTTTATATCAAACAATCATCATGTCAACAACTCACATGTTTATATCCTAGACTATTTAATTTTGAAAATATTTGTTTACTTATTCCTTCCTATTCTTTTTTTGTTAATTCTTGTTATACATTTCTTTGAAAACTAAACTGCTGCAAAAGACATGGGAAGACCCCACCCACACTGACGGAGAGACCAAGTGTTGTGGTGATAACGATCCCATTGACGTGTGTGACATTGGCAGCCAGGTGAGACGGGTTCTGTAGATGACAAATCAAATGACATACACATTGTTTAATGCATATTTTTCATTAACAAGTGAACAATATTCCATCAGATATCTGTCCTAAGACATGACTTAAAGTCACTTTTTGTTTAGTTCAATTTTGTTTAGTTGATTCATTTCTTTGTTGGCTTGTTCAGGTGTGTTTGCCCGGTCAGGTGATCCAAGTCAAAGTTCTTGGCATCTTAGCCATGGTTGATGAAGGAGAAATGGACTGGAAGGTTATCGCCATCAATGTTAAAGACCCAGACTCGGCGAAACTAAACAGTAAGTTTGACCTGAAGTGTCATTGTTATAGTGTCCGTCACTTTTTATACTGCATTCTATATGGAGTTTCTGTCAGTATGCCCTGTCTATCTGTCCTATTTTAATGGTGATTATGAAAAAGCTTCTTTACTCAACTGTAGTTCTGTTGTTCTATGTCAGGTTTTTCCCCTGCATTCATTTTTGACAACTGATTATTTCCATGTGATTAGCATGTCCTACTAAAGGTGTGTTGTCATATTTTCTGCCAACACTCTTTTCCTGAATGTGTATGTGCCACACTATTTAATGAAGGACATATTTGCTCATCTGTTCCACAGAGAATCACATCACACTGGCAGCACAATAAAAACCTACAACTCACTGCCTGTCGATTCATACGTCTGAGTAGAGCGTTGTCTGTGGTCGTTCCATTCATGTGTTTTTTTACACTGAGAGAACAGTGTGTCACTGATGAAGTTCGTCTGTCTTGTTTCTGTGTTTTGTGTCGTGTGGTGGTGTACAAACATGTCACACTCTTTTACTGTGATGTCACATCTCAGAGTGGACAGCAGCATCTGCAACCAAATGTTGACTTTTTTTCTGTAAATTCGTCAGATCAGCACCTCGGCTGGTAGACCACTAGATCATAGCCTAATGTTTTTATTTCTGTCTGGTACAGATATAGATGATGTTCGTAAAAGCCGACCAGGTCATCTGGAGGCAACCGTTGACTGGTTCAGAAAATATAAAGTGCCTGATGGGAAACCTGAAAACCAATTTGGATTTAACGGCCAATTCAAAGACAAGGTACTGAGAACGCTCTTGTCGCACAACTGTGCTTCCTATAAGTGCTGACATTTCCTCTTTTGTTGTGTGGTCAATAGGACTTTGCAGTTGAAATCATCAAATCCACCCACGAACACTGGAGGGCACTAGTGCAGAAGCAGACAAACAGTGAAGGGATTGAATGGTAAGGTGGGCTGATTTAAAGCCTCTGCAAGTGAATGTGTGGTGAACACCTAAACTCTGACACACTGCAGACGGAGTTGTGCTTTTATACATGTATAATATATTTATATATATATTTTTAATCCTTTTCAACCAGCAAAAACATCTCTTGCTGTGAAAGTCCTTTGAAATGCACAGCTGACGAGGCCAGAGATGTGGTCCTGTTGGTGAGAGCTTATAAATCCTATACAGAAGAATTAGTAAAATATTGTTTAAACAGTTATCCGGTCATAATACTAATAATTAATACTTCAGATACATTAGCACTTATGTGTGAGATATGTATTGTTCTTTATGACTGAGCTAGATGGTAAGTCTCTGATGTAGCGCCATCTTTATTTATGCTAATAAAACATTATTTAAAGCTATTTATTGCCATTAATCATGGCAACATATACCATTATGTTTTGACGTCTTAATAATCCTGCCTAAAAACAAAATAATACTGAAACTAGTAAGTCAGTGAAAGGTTCGGTTTAGTAACTTTTATTTTTCGTTTTTCATTAACTTGTGTATTATTTAGTAACTCGTTTTTCATTAACTTGTGTATTATTTCATGAATTGCCAGGCCCCAGCATATGGCAGCCCGGTAGCTGTGCCTCCAGAGGGTAAGTCACTGACAGTCAGTCCACTGTCAGTAACCCTAGTTTCTGGTTGATGTTTTTTAAGTGACTTCAGCAATTTTATGTCGTTCTTTTCTTGTGCAGTGGACAAGTGGCATTTTGTCTGAGAGACAGACGGATTTATGTTGGGGGAACGCGTTCTCGGAAGCAAAAACATGAATAAAAAAAAATCAAAATAATCATGAAAGTACTAACAAACAACAACACTGATAATACTAACACTGATGGTATAATGATGGACAATTATTGTATAGTTTGTTGGTTGAATCTGTAATGATTTAAGTGATAAGTACGTAAATCTTGGCTTTTTTAAAATAATTTTAAAATATGAATTAAATTTGAAATGCTCTAAATATTCTGTGCTGTGTGTATCGCTTAAAACCATGAAAACTGAAATGAAGAGGCACATAAAACGCTTATGAATATTCACTTACGTTGCTTTAAATAAATATAAATTTTATTAAAAAAAACACCCACATCTCAGCAATGTCAGGAATGATATAATAAACAGTTCTCAAATAAACTGCATTCAGTACATTACAATACTTACAGTATTAATATCAATAATCATTAATTCCATTTTTGTCACATCAAATTTCCAAACAACTAGGTAAGCCTTTATAAAATATGACAGGCCAAAGGTTGCGCTTTTTCTTTTTTTTTCTTTTTTTTATACCTTTTAGTGTCTTACTGAAAAAACAAACAAACATTGTGTATCAACAGCTAGCTTAACCTTTGAGCTCAGCACAGATAGTGCACTAGATAAACCCAGAAAGTCATTCAAGTAATGTTGACTCACTCAGCAACACTCTGAAGCATCTTCAAGTATGGCCATGCTCGTAACCCGCTATGTCTTAGATACTTCGGCTTTCTCACCCACAACCTGCTACTGTAGCTGGGCACTGTACAATGAAAATAAACATCTGTAATGTATATTTATTTATTTTATTTTTTATTTTTACAAAACTGGGAGAGCTAGGAGACGGATCTAGAACTTCTAAGGACTACTCTAGTACTGTAAACATTGCTGTGACATTAATATTTACAGAGATGTCCTGGATTATCAATCAGTGATCGTTGTCGTAACCTGAATGTGTGGAAGGTTTGTGTCAGAATATGTGACAGAGCTGCGACCCACTTGTAAAGAATAAGAATAGCCAACGCCAACTTTTGGAGACTTAGTTGTTTTTCTACATTACAAATTCTTGGTATGTACACGGTGACATTATTAATTTATTTAATTTTTTTAACACACATTTACAATCTCCCTAAATAAAATCATTTAGCAATTCTTAATTACATATTTTTTTCCTGAAAAAAAGAAATGAAGTGCTTTCAGAAAATGAATACGTTTTAAGAGTGGACTACAATTTATAACCTAAACATTACAGTCATTTTAGTGTACTCTATAGCGATGCCTCAACTGACACAAATAGAGTAGAGAGTGTGGGTGGGTGATGTGGGCGTGTCATAATAATTACTAAGCAGTTATAAATAAATGCAATTATACATAGGTGCAACTATGGTAATCACGGCCACGGTGGTTCCTGCAAAATCAAATTGATTTCTTTTTAACCCAGATGATGATATACCTTTTCATCAGCTCAGTGCATCTGTGTTCAAATCGCTTATTATTATTTTTTGGAGGTCACCACAAAATATAAGTAAAATTACAGGGGAAGTGTTTTTGATGGCTTACACATAAAAGGGGGGATTCGGGCAACAATGACGTCCTCAGTGACAGTATGGCAAGATAACTACAGGTGGTGAAGACACTGTTTCTTTAAAATGTCCCTGATTTTACAGTAACATTAAAAACCAAGTTCAAGTAATACTTTCTAAAAGATCATAAGAAAGTAAGACATGAACTTGTATGCCTCTTAGGTGGCCCTTAGTTGAACTGTAGAGAGAAAAAAACAAAACAAACGACAGAACAATATTCCTATTGCCAGACTAGTTTTGAGGTATATGACAGGTACGTACTATACATTATTTAAAAGCCTGCTCGCTGGTTAAAGAGTCACATTGTATATCTCTAGTACGTCGTATAGCACCTTGTGAAAATAAAACAGTCAAACCCAAATGAAACATAAAGTTAGCATTCTTTAAAACACAAAATGAAGAACAGTAATTCAAAAACAGAAAAAAATTAAGTTACTGTACAAATCTCACCTGCATTACTTACAGTTAGAGAACAACAATTAAAGACCCCACAGCAAGCCAGCTGCCTTCAGAGACTGACACTGGGCTGACCCTGTTCTATGTTCCTTTAGTGAAAAAAAGCATATTTACCAAGCACAAAAGGAAAAACAAAAGTGTAATATTCACAATTCAGGATTGTTCAATCAACCGACAGTAAGGTACATAAAAAGTCAACCAACAACATGGTAAACCTGGAAAAGATCTTTTTTTTTTCTAAAAAAGTTTAAAATGCACCATTCAATATGGCTTATTTTACAGTAAAAATTACATAGGAAGTTGAACAAAGCACCAACACAATGATAGTCTTTTTTTTTTTTTTTTGCATGTGATAGCATACCCTATGTTTGCAGACTTGTAAGCTCAAGTCGAGTTCAGCTGGAAACCCAATCACCGGCACTGCAGCGACACAGTATAACCCAATTTTTGTTAAAGTAATCTTTAAACAATCAAAACAATTATCTTTTTCCATTTAAAAAGTGCTGTAAGACACTGACCTGCCACAAAACATTATTATGCTGATGATGTGGGGAAATATTTTTCAGTATCCTGTGGAAATTAACTGTTGCTTTGAATTGTAGCACGTGTTGTGGTTGTGTGTGTAATCCTTAGAAACGGTGACAGATGCACGTAAGCACCATGGAGGTTGTCGTTCACCAGTGCAGTGTTTCCGTCAACATTTTCACAAAATCCCGTAAGAAAAGTGAAGCAAAGACAGGAAAAAAAATAGTTTCTGTAAAAAAATAGATCCTTGTGTATTTGACTAAAAGCACCAAACAATCTGACACTGTACTTGCAAAACTCCTCTGCCAAAAATAAATACATAGTTAGTTGGTTCAACTAGTAAAGCTCGGTTACTGTAGAGGTGAAAGACCAGTTGACAGAGGTTATTTCGACTATGCAATGTTTAGCGGTGTTCAGAATAGGCAAGTGGTGCAGGAAGTCTTTCTGTTTTTTCATAAATAAAGCACCTTCAATTTTTGAAATAACATTTTTTACATAAACTTGCTGTAAGGTCCTGTGACCTTGGTGAAGGCATATGGAGTTGTACTAACATAGGTGTTTGTTGTGCATGACAAGGAGCCCTCCAGTAACCTCTGGATAAAACGTTTGTACGGAGGTACCGTGTTGGGGTCATATGACTCTGAATGCTCCCGCTTCACCCCCTTCTTGTTGCTCTTACTTGGTGTCCCCTCACCACCATTTCTTTCTGCATCTTCCTCTTTTTCCCGCGCCTTCTCTGCCATCTTGGCTTCCCATAACGCCAAACCATGCTTGGCTTCATTCAGATTTTTATGCTGATAAAAAACCAAGGAGATGCGTGTTGGGTGTTGGCGGTCAGGATTTTTGAGGGGTGTTGTTGCGTGAAGCTCCCGTTTGGCACATTCAATTAGAACTGAGCCATGGCTTGGTGCAACTGCCACACCACCAATATCCGGGTCCAAGAAGTTGTGCTCATTGTCTGACCATATCACAGGCTTTTGTGGAGTTGTGGGTGTCTGTGGTGTTCCTGGCTCCTGTTTGATACCGGAGGCCAAGAGACTTCCGTTAGGATGTCCTAATCCTGGCTGTGGCTCAGGCTTTAAGCAGCCAGCTCCCAACTGAGAGGAGGTCATCTGGGGCCCAGGCATTCCCATTTCTGTTTTGATTTGCATTTTGAAAGGATCCTGACCTGGTGGCAACATTTGAGGGCCTCGAGAGAGGTATGGATTTGGGTATCCACCAAATTGAGTGCCTTGACTCACTGCTGATGTATAGTCAAGACCTCCATGAACTGGATTGGATGTTCGAGACAGGGGGTCCATAAACTGGAGTTCAGTTCCTCCATTGGGACCATAGGGAGTGTAAGGCCTCATAGAGGGAACTGGCCTCATGTTGCATGGATTGTAACCATCGACCTGCATACCTGGCTGTCCGTACATTGGTGGATAGTTGACTTCATAACGATGATGTGCACTGTACTGCTGTTCTGGGTAAAGCGCTGGTCGTTGTTGTTGGTACATGTCCATGTGCTTTGGGTTGGAAGCATAGTATGGAAGAAAATTGTCAATGGGCATTCCCCCATTACCTTTAAAACCAGGATATGGTTGATTTTGTCTGTTCATGTAAGAGTTTGGTGTATGGAGTGGGGAATGATAAGGGCTTGTAGGTGTTGGTGGCTGGGGGGGATACAAACTGCCAGGCTTGGAAGTGCTTGGAAAAGAGCCTGGATGACCGGGGTATTTGGGGTAATTGGGTGCATTTGTTGAACCAGGATAAGGGGGTAAAATCCTCTGGTGCTGTTGTTGCTGTTGTTGCTGTAACTGCTGTAACTGCTGTATCTGCTGTAACTGCTGTGGATGTGCCCCAGGTTGGTGTTGTGGCAAACCTTGGTGTAGTGCTGCACCTATGGCTCCAGGAATAGGTCCTACACAACAAACACCAAGACATGACATTGTAACGGGTTACCAAACAACACACAATAACACATCATTTATGCAAAAATGTGTTTGTAACGGGTTACCAAACAACACACTATAACACATCATTTATGCAAAAATGTGTTTGAAATCTCAGCATTTAATATCATCCTACCTGCTACATGTGTGCTTTGTGTGGTATTTTCCAAACTGCCAGTTTTTTGCTTGGAGAGGAGTGCTTTCTCTGCCTTATCATTTGCGCTCTCAAGCATGGCATTCTTATTGGCAGCTGCCTTTTTAGCTTCCAACTTCTTTTGTCGGCAAGACTTCGCAGGCTCTGAAAGCATGCGAACTTCGCGGCGAAAGGTGCTCAAGACTTGAATGGCACCTGACTTTATTTTATCTAGCTGACCCTCCTCGCTGCCAAACTCATCAGTGTTTGAAGCCTTATAAAGTGGGAGAACGTGGAGTTGCTCGTCCTCAGGTATCTTCCCAATCTCTCGGTTGTCCTCGCGCGTTAATGTACAGACCTGCAAGAATGTCACAGTTACATACTTTTGCTTGAAACATTGCAAATGTGAAGTGTTCTAAAATAATATTGTACACTTGGCACATATAGTACAAATTATACATACCACACTGTACACTTTGATGGTACATATAGTACAAATTATACATACCACAGTGCTGCCACCCTGCATGTTGTGGAGGTCTCTGTGGGCATGGGCACAGAAGTCCATGCAAGCAGTGACTCCAGAAAATGGACGACCCTCCTTGAGCCCTAGTCGACAATCCGGTGCCCTTCGTTCATGTTCTACCTGTGTTCAGGTGACATAAGTAAATTTTCAGTTAAACTAAATAGTTGTCTAACTTCACAATGATGTGTTGTTAAAGTGCAGTAGTTTAAGAGAGGTTTGAAAGGGAACAATGGCTTTATATCTGGTGGTGTATACTTGCCTGGTTTCCATAGGCTTCAGGTGCCATAGTTTTGTACAGAGGACCCAACAACGTTGCCAAATTCTGAAGTTCTTTTTCCAGTTTCTCCTCCTAAAATAAATAAAAAGTAATAAAGTAAGATAATTCAACAGAAATTGTATGAACAAAACTGACAACTACAATTAAGATGAAATACCTCTTTTACGTCATCTCCTAGTAGCTTGAATTTTCTTGGAATTTTGCTCCTGGCAAACTTGCAACCGTTGTAATACATGCTCCATGAACAGCCAAAAGAGAATGATGCTCCAGAGAAGTCAGGATCTAGCCCCTGGCATGCACAGGTCCTCCTGAGAGTCAGGACAGAAATTCAAAAAGGTTACTTTTGCCCATGTTATTAAGTGTTAGCCAGTGATATATTGTTGCCTGCATGGCCAGGTCGGTTTTCTCTAGTGTATAACTCACTCCTCATTGAGAGCACATCGTCTTTGAGTGTGTGCCCCATGCTTTGTTAGAGTTTCACTAAGCTCGAAGTAGAGGCGGTCAGCGAGGCCTGGCTGAATGCCTTCCCAGATGAGCATTACCACAATGATACATGCTGTTTCACATGTATGACCATTTCGTTGCTTCACCAAAACGAGAACCTTTTCCTCTACACTGGATCTACGAATCACCTAAAACATGACAAGTATCATATTTTATGCTGTAAATTTTGCATGAAAAACAAACAGTCAATCTGAATCAATTAGATCATGACTTACCCATTTAGCAATGGGGCACCCCTGTGTACTTTTTCCTTCCTTGCCAGTGTATATTACTTTCTCAATTCTGATGGCGGAACCAGTGAGGCCAGACCTTCAAGACAAAATATAGACATTAAAATCAGTACAATAGTAACCAGTGGTTGTATAACAGAGTTCATGTTTATAGAGATTATCTTGTTTCACCACAAGATAATAACCTTTTCTCCATCATCTCCCGTATACCAGCAACGCTAGGTGCTGAACCCAGGTGGGTGTAGTATGGGCCTTCATCTTTCTCGCTGATTTGTTCTAATGAAACAAAATTTCATTAGGATTTTACATCAAATATTCAACAATGCTGCCAACTCAATGTTACAACACTCACCAACGCAGTGACAGGATGCTATGTCGTACTGTGTTTTTAAAGGAGTGTCAAGCAAATTCTTTATGGGAGTATCCAGCAGCTTCATCGGAGATTCCATAAAGCTTTGCAAGAGGTTTTCCTTCTTAGGTGTAATCTCAGGTGTGTTTTTTACAGAGACAGCATTGGTGGCCGCTGCAAATGATTCTACTCCATTTATTTCAGTATTAGTTGATAAGACTGTCACACTGCCAGAAGATTCCACTTTGACCTTGTTGGCTGCATTAATGACAAAAGATTTTTTCTCAAATACAGGTGACAGCTGGTACTGCTTCAGACTCTGTTCCATGGAGGCCAAGATGCTGCCTTGGCTTTTGCTTTGCATACACAGGGATTCTTGATTTTCCTGCTTGACTTGAATGCCACCTTGCATCTTTACATTTTGCTCCTGTTGCTGTAATGCAGAGGCCTCAAATCTTGGTCCATTTTCCAGTTTTATACACTTAAAGCTGCTTTTGGGGTCAATTAAACCCTGAGCTGGATATGGCAGGTTCTGTCGATCCTGCCTTTGTAACAGGTGCATACGAAGGGCAGCGTGCCTCTGAAAGTCTCTACTGGGGCTTAAAGGACCCATGGGTAATCGAGGTCCACTTTGGACCTGAGTGCTTGATGTTTTTAGCTGTTGTTCAAGATACATCTGTGTTGATACCTGTGGATTTAATGCACCCTGTAGAAGCTGAGGTTGTGATTGGGACGAGAGCTGAGGAAAGTCTTTGTTGTTGAGTTCCTGGCAGTTGCTGTTTGCCTGTTGTGGTTGATATTGCTTCAGGGAACTGTTACCTGCGTTTGGTGAGTTCTCCCTTAGACTCTGTTGTAGTTGTTGGATTTCTTTAGAGTTATTGTAACTAAACAATGCATTCTCACCATGTTGGTTTTGTGAGTTATTGACTTGGCCAGAAATTGCTTTATTAGATTGGCTGGGTTGGAGCTGTTGGTGACCCGGTGGAGGCTGACTGTGAGGTCTGTAATTTGTGGATGGGGGCCGTTGCCCTTCATATTGTGGTGGGTGGGACAGGGGTCGTTGTTGGTGACAGTGCTGTTGTTGTGTTGTTAAAATCTCAGGTGACAATATTTTCTGCAGGTCAGGGTCCTCACATAAAGGATCTGACTGCACCTGGTTGTGGTAGTGCCTTACAGTTGACTGATTTGGAGTAAACTTAAGCTGCTCAGGTAGAGGTTGGTGCATCTGAGATGCTTCAGAACTCGACTGCTGCCACTCAGTGGCAGTGTTGTGCTGGGCTGAAACACAGTGTGGTTGGCCTGGAAGGCAATCTTGCTGTTTTTTCTGCACATTGTTAGCCCTCTGGCTACTGTCCATGAAATCTGTATCAGGTCTTTGCTCTGGGGTCAGTTGCAACATCTGTCTATGAAGATGGTGGTTAGCTGCCCGTGGGTCTGACTGAGACTTTGCAGAGAGGCCTTTCCAAATATCCTGGTCTGGTGCCAGAGTTGACTGACCACTCTGAGGTTGCTGGTGGGGATGTGAAGCATTTAACTCTATCCAACCTCTTTGGTGTGAAGTTGAACTTAAGTTACTTCTGTGGTTTGAGATATTCTCTATTCTATTTTCTACAACAGAATGCTTGAGACTATCTGTCATGGGTCGAATACGGTCACCTACGTGTGGTTTTATGTTTTGGGGTTGAATTCCATGCTGATGACCACTGTCGGTACTAAAATGCTGATGCCGAACAGTCCCAAGTCCTTCAACTTGTCCCATTTTTTGTCTCTCGGAGTATGGACCTGCATTGAAACCTGTCTCTGACGATTGTAGAGGAGCACCTTGGTTCAAGAAGGATGTTTGGGTAAACACGGGACTGGATTTCCCATATAAACCTTGAGAAACATTATCAGTTGGATAACACTGTGAGCCATTTTGTTGTTGTGAGGTATTGGCAGTACTTTTAGGTAAGCTCATTCCAGCTAGATAACCTGCAGCTAACTCCTGACCAGAGTGGGTAGGCAATTGCTGCTGATGCGCTGGTTGCTGGTGTTCTATGCCAAAACTGTTGGAGTATCCATTCACAGTATTGGTGGCAGGACTGTAATCTTTGCTTGCTTCAGCATTGCCAGATGTCACATTCTGCTCTTCCTGTGTTTCAGGCATCTGAGCTGACATGTGCAATCCTGAGGTCAGTGACAGTTGTTGAGCACCTTCACTGGGCAACTTATTTGCCAGAACACTGTTAGCAGCATTGTGTGGGGTCCCAGATGTATTTGTTGCAATTGACACTTGTTCGGGGTAATACTGGGATAGTGTTTTTTCCAAAAGATCACCCGGAGTGGTTTCCATAGTTGAAGGAGGCGAGATAGCACCATTTGGAACTGACACATGTTTATCCCTCGGCAGATAGAAAATGTCCCCGTTTTGAAAATTACAGTGTCTCTTGTCTAATGTAACCTCTCTGTGTTGGGCATTGCATTCAAATTCTGTTGCTCTTGTCAATGCTGGAAAATTATCCAGCAAACTGGAGCTCCTGTCAGCATTTCCCTTCATCCCAGGATCTATTTTCGGTCTTTTAGGCTGGTGCACCAGTAAAGATTGTTCAGTGAGGGCATGCTTCAGCTCCCCATTCATAAATTCTCCATTCATCATGTAGGCTCCTTGATCAAATAGCCCTTGTCCCAGAGAGGGGCTGTGCCTCTTCATGCAGTTGACACCTGTGTTAGGCTTAAAATGATTCCAGTTTGTATCCCCATTGATCTGCAGATCTCTTTCTGAAGACTGGCTGCCATTCTGTAACTTGTGAGGAATCCCTTGAGGTGTGCCAAATTGTGATAACATCAAACTTTCTTCCTTCTCATGACTGGTCTGTTCTGTTTCCATCTGGCCTGATCAGAGTCCATCCAAAGGGCAGCCCTTTGTTCGTCCTGCAAGGCAAAAAAATACGATTACTACGTTGTCACATCGACATACTGTTGTATTCAAGCATAAATACACAATTCATTCATGTTTTCATGAAAATGTACTAAAGTTTAATGACAAAATGGCCCACGGATTAACCACCTACGTGCGGCCCGCTACCCAGCCATCTCATTGGTCCTTCAACAAGTATTGAGAGGTAGTCTCTCTCTCTCTCTCTCTCTCTTTTCCTCTCTTATAGGCAGCAAAACATAATAAATCCCCGTAGGATATTGATTTCTTTGTGCCACCCTTCATTGTTCATTCAGAGCATCTGCAAAACAGTTGCAGAGTGCAGGAGCTGCAGTCTAATCCATTATAATTATGAGGACGTCTTCTGCTCAGCTGTAGAAATAGGCAGCAGAGAGTCGCAGAGAGCAAGAGGATGTCAAATTCAGAGTTGTGTTTGCTGGAAAAAGATCCACGATGTAAGCTTTAATTGTATTCAATATAATTTGGTTAGGGCCCATTGCATACCTCTGTGTTTACTGCCTAGGTTTATGTACTTTATAGCCCTCACTAACATTTAAGTTCTGTTGAAATCTTGTGTTAATCGCTGTCAGGTAAAGGCTGTGGTCATAAATGTGCAAAAAGCAAAGGCTGACAAGAGATGAGATTCTGTCAAAAAGCTTCTGTCACTGCACAACACCAGCTATAATGTGTCCTAATTATTGGAATAATTAAGAACACCTGCGCAGGCTTTAAAATAGTCCAACATATCAGTGGATGAATAGTTTTTCTTTGTTTCTTGGTTAACAAAGGCTGTGGACTCTGGGCAGTATGTACACATACACAGCCTCTGAAAACCGTAATTAAATCCAGCTTTGTATTCTCACTAATGTAAACACACTATAGTCTCACGATTGGCAGTGTCCTTTGTTTGGGGGAAGAGAAAAGAAAACAATTCTGAAAAGTTTACGGTACTACGTGTTTAATTTGGCAGACCCCTCCTCCATCACTGATCATCACATCTGGACTGATTCACAGCTGCTTACAAACTCGCTGTTACTGCACAGGACTTTAATACAATTTGGAAAAAAAATATTAATGCACAATAATTGCAAAAAACGCTATGCAAAAGATAAATGGAGACATGAAGTTTGTTGTTCGTTTTTTCAGCTCATTTCTATATCATTTTGTAAAGTGACCCAAGACCTTAACACACTCCGCACTGTCGGAAGGTAAACAAAGCTAATGAGGATTTTGATAACTAAAGCCAAAATATGAACTGGTACTATTGTACTCAGTCGACCATCTGGACCAAGACGCCCTACGGAGAGAATTGTCAGGAAAGGCTCTGCTCCACGTAACGATCTGTGTCAATCACCCCTGCAGGACATTAGCAGCCTCCAAACCCTGAAGTTAGAGTGCTAAATCTCCCACTAACGAGCCGAGCTGTAACAAGTGTCTGGAAGCTCCCACTGTTCTGACAACAGAGAGGACAGCTGCCTGTGAGCAGGTGGAGGAGGACGGCCGCACAGTTAAAACAAAGGCTGCTCCTGCAGTTCACGGCAAATTTATACATTCACTATAGTTTTTACCCAACGTATGTGTACTGTGCAAGAATGACTAAAAAATTAAAAATATTTAGAAAAAAAACAATAAAAATCTCATTGGTAGGTGATAGTAAACCCAAATATTTTCCAGTTGGTGTTTTACACACAATGGTAATTTGGACTATTTTAAATTACGCCAGAAAGACTTGGTGTTGTTGGTGTTGTTCCCGGACAACTGGTCACTGGTTTTAGAGAGTTCATGTCATTTTGACAAATTACTTTTTTTTTTATATATATACAAAATAATGGAGATAACAGATTCCAAAATGTCACAACATGTAGACTTTACCCCATGGTGTGTGGTGGTGTTGTCAGTCAACATTATTGTGTAACAGAGCTGCACTGTAGTTGACAAATACATTACACAAGATGTAGATTATAGAAATAAATATAAACTAAAAAGGAATACTTAACTTAATTTATGTTTATAATAAAATCCTATTTTCAAATGTAGATTAAAAAAACAAACAAACATCTGTTATGGCGTAGAGAATATTCAAGACATATTCCAACATTTTGTTCATCAAAAGATGCCTTTTAATAATTAATTATATACATTAATAAAACAGAGGCTGAATGTATTTATCTGTTGTATGTTTAGTAAATAACCATAATGTAAATTATCAAACCAAGAAGAAGTGGAAAATATTTAGTTTTTAGGGTTTCTTGTCTTGAAACAAAAGTGAAAGATTTCTTGTTAATTCAGTGCAGTTCATTATTTTTATTTTATTTTTAAACATAGAAGAAACAAAAATACAAATAGACTCCTTTGCAACAACTCACTGCAAAAAGAAAATATCTAATTTTAATCATTCAGTTAAAAACATATTGACCCCAGATTTTCTTGCACCCAAATTCAGATACAATGAGAGGAGCATGTGAACACCACTTCCCGACCTCATGTGACTAGTCTTTTGTTTTGTCTGGCAGCCAGTAAATAAGTAACTCAGTCAGGAGGTGGGACTCCATGCTGCTGTCATTGTGGCTCCGGTCCTAACAGACACTCCGGGGTTTACAGCAGACTGAGCGGAGCCAAGCGGCTTCACAGTTGGAAACACCCACACTGACAACAACAAAAAAAATCTTTGCAAACCCAGAACAAAGCCAGAGATCCCAGCTGAGTGTGTGCGCGCCTGTACACGTACAAACACACTAACACTCACACCAGTCATACGCTGTTGTACTTCTGACTTTAAAGGTGCAGTTCTGCTGATTTTGTTTTAGGCTCCATGTGGAGATCTATTTATGATCTGCTGCCGTGGAACCAACTGAACCTAGAGTTTACTCAGTGAAATGTTGAAATGTTTTCATCTAGTCTCGTATGAACATATTTGAAACTATAATACAACTCAGACTGTCTGACATGAAGCAGTTTCTCAACTTTTTTTTAAAAATTGTATTTATTTTTTTACTCCCAGATGTCAGTTTCTTTGTCTACACGCTCTTGTTTGTTCTGCCCCCTCCCTCACTCCCACAACCCCACAGTCAGCGCTCCATAATTACACCTTAGCTCACTACTGCCTTTGGTCTGCTTCCTGCCTGTCAAGTCCATCATGGAGCCTGTGTAGTTATGGACTGGGCTTTTAGGTGCTGCTGGACAAACCTAGACCTAGTAACTGCCTGTGGTTGGTGACCGTGCAGCTGTATAGTTGTTTGGGAATGTGGAGGGTCAGTTGCTTTACTGCCTTGAGGCCTGGGGCCGAGGATGGACTCTTGGACAGAGTGTGATCAGTGTTGTAAAACAATGGACACAGTTTGCACAAGAGTCCTTTAATGGCTGTAGTTAATGCAGCCACACACTGCACTGCAGTATTGCAGTACTATCCTTTCCAACATAGTTTTTCTTCACTATATCAATGACTAAGCAATATCGCAGTAGAAATGTTCATGTCTGAATAATGACCTTTGTCATTCAAACCCGGTACACACCGGTGACTAAGTCTCAGTCTGTTGGACCTGCATCGTGTTATTGTTTTTCCCAGCGAGAGCCGCTGAAATATGAGAGCTGCCATAGTGGACGGTGTCTGGTCGGCGTGACTTGGCAACCGCACGTGACATTCAGGGCTATGGACAGCTGCTGGGAGACTGTGGTCTCTGCACCTTCAGGTTGATGTGTGGGCAGCGGTGCTGTGGAAGGAGACGCGAGCTGTGGGGCAGCTCCGTAAATCAAACATCCACTTGTAAAGGCATTCCCTGGGTTTGCACAGACGTCACATGAATAAGCTGTAGTCTCAAGTGAACATTTCCTCCTCTACTCACGCACACGGCTGTGTTTTCCTGTTGCAGAGATAAGATCGTGGGACATGCCTTTAAACAATTTAAAGTATCCCTTACTTGAAAATTTTGGGTATGAGCTGAAAAGTCATATTGTCACCAGAGCTAACACAAGGCGTTAGCAACAACAACAACAACAGAAGGAAACCTGAGCTAACTTGTTTGAAATAGTTCTGAGAGTTCTGCAGAGACGAAACACGCTGATATAAACAGCAGCAGGTCGTAGAGCAAAGACTGAAACATCATCCAAGTCAGCTGCCAGAAGTCTAATTAGGTCAGATGACTTGCATTCTACGTTACTGGAATTCCTTTACGTAACGGTCGTCACACATGATCCTAAATCTTTACATTCAGTCTTTATTTTCTGATCAATCAACTCTAAGGCTTTTTTTTTTATTATTATTATTTTGGCCTTCAGTGCTGCTGTTTTGCTGCTGTCATTGTTATTTCATAGACATTTTATGTTAAAAGGCAGAACTTTCCTTTGAGTTATGATGTCACTATGATGGTACTCAACGAATTTCACATTGGGGACAGTTTTGCACAAAAATGGAAGGTTTGAATACACCGGTCATGTTGCTGTGGTGTCACAGAGTATCAGTGCTCTGTGTGTTGGTGCTACAAATATGTGTCAGTAAAAGTCACTCTCTCCACTGTGGTGGGGGAGCAAAAGCCCACGTTTCTGCAGATATTTGTATAATTCAAACGTCTATGTAAATGTGGTTTAGTTTACCCTCTGTAATCTTCCTTCAGTTGTGCCGGTATCTTCTTACTGTCCTGTCATGTTTGAATTGTTTGTTCTGTTTTGCCTCAATATCCTGATAGTTCACCCAAAAAAAGGGGGTGTTTTAGTGCCTTAGAATCACATGAAAACACTGACAGCATGGATTATCCAATCAGATTTGTGAAGCATATTTGGTTTCCGGTTGACAATACCAGAGTAGTCCTTTAGACATGAAGGTTTTCTTAATAGACTGGTTCATAAATGTTTCACATTAGATTAAAAAAAAAGCAGAAGCAGAAATGTCTATTTTTTCAGCTCCTCTGAACTTTGGTTTGACAAAAACTGCCGCTCTCTGAGAGCTGAAGTCCTGAGCAATTCTTCAAAACAAAGTCCCCTGTGAGAAGCACTTTTTCTCATTGAGACAAAAAATGGGAGTTCTTTAGTCTCTCTGAGAGAAATCTTCAGAAAAACTGGATTGATAGATGGCCACAGAAAGAGAGACACCCACTTCTGTTTGTAATTCCTCCCCCAGAGAGACTCCCCTCCCCCTCCCGTAGAAAAAATGGATCTGTACAATCTGCATTGTTCCTTATGTCTAATGCAAGACAGATGTGACTTGAGGTG